TGTGACTCATAGAAAATACAGGTACCTTTGGCTCATGCAAAATACAGGTACCTTCTACTGCACAAAAAAGAAAAGAGTGCTGGGACAACATGATGCTCTTTATAGTTACAGGACAATGATAAAAGATGATAAAACACTTCAACTGTCAATAGAAAGGTCACTTCATGTGAGTGTAGGTGCAGGAGCAGAGTGGGGGAAGGTGACTTTAAATCAGCTTTGCAGTTTCCCTTCTTCAGCTGGTTCATCACCAGGTGGATCTGCTGGAGGGATGAACAGCTTTAGTCTGCTTTAAATTCTGCCTCCAGCCAGTAGTTCTCAGCTGACCTCAGGGCTGTTAACCAGGGCACTGGCAAGAGCTGACTCAAAGTTTTCTGCACTTGGACCTTCCAAGAAAAGCACCCCTCACTTGGAGGGGCTGCTGCTTTTTTGGAGAGTAACACATGAGCCTGGAGCTGTGCCAGGAGAAGTGGGAAGTTCACTCCTTCTTGAGGATCCTGCAAATGATCTATTTACAGGGCAAAGCCTGTGAGCTGCCATGGCAAGGACACACGGTTCCAGCTCAGCACACCTGTGCTTTACTGTGGTTTCCCTTATGAATTTAAAAAGCCTTTATCCAATTTGTTCACTTTTAATCTGGCATATCATGATATCATAAGGCTGAAAATCTAGAACTAATTCTGAGAAACATGGTCAGCAATGAAAAGCCTGAAGACCAGGGTCCAAAAGAAGATGCTCTGGGTGACAAAGTTGTCACTGGCATGAGGCTCCTGCAGGAATTCCTGGCTCTCACCTCAGCCAACTGCACAAGGTTAGTGTGAGTATGTCCACTGCCTGCAAATTCCCCATGATCACTGTCTCTGTGCTATAGTTCAGGAGGATACACCATGGATAAATAGCTTATTCTGCTATCAATACGACAATGAATTCATCATTTCACTGCATCCGACTGTTGGGAAAGGGGAAACTGGTGCACTTCCAACTCCTCATTGCAAGACACAATTTCCATATTGAGTGCAAGCAGTGGTTCAGGTGAGAACCAGTGACACAGCCAGAAGAGATGGGACCAGAGCCTTGTTCTCTGTGAGCATCCCAGAGTCCTCTCAGGAGGGACATGTGTGCACTGAAGGGCTTCTGTGCCATTTCAGCTGGTACAGGATGGCAGCTCCTCTCTTCCAAAGGCACTCTCAAGTGCTCTCTGCACTCCTGAGCAGCTGACAAAACAGTGCTTACTGTCCCTCTCAGCAGAGATTTAACAAGCTCTGCAGTAGTTAGCCAAGTCCAGACAGACCCCAAGTTGTGTTGCTTTAATTACAGCCTCTCCTATTTAATTTCTTTTTTAGTCTCAGTAAACACATTCCTAAGCTTCTCCAATCCATTGTGACAAAGGTTGGGTGCACTGGGAGCAGAAAACCTTCACCAGGGAAATAAGGAGGCTTGCCAGCACCTCCAAGCAAGCAAATTCAAGGCTACTAACCCTGACCTATGACTACAACACACCTGGTATTGTGAAGACTCAAATTACTTCTGCTCCAAAAACTGAAAAATAAGGTTTTTATTTTTACATAGTCTTATTTTAAAAAGGCAGAAGTTTGCATTTTCAAAAATTGTTTGTGCACTGGAAGTCAGTAGTGTTCTTAAAGCCTGTCTGTTGGAAGTCAATTATTTAGGCAGACAGGCACTTAACTACTTATGTGCAAGGATTAATACCTGCAATTAGCCCCTGGTGCAACTACAGCCTGTGCAGACACAAATCTGGATCCCTGATCACTGGTGCTTTATCCACTGCAGGTGAAAGAATTTGCAGTTTCCATTGCTTCCTTCACAAGTTCTTCCACAGGGTGAAAATCACACCGTTATCTCCTCATTCAGCTTCTCTACTTTTGCCCTCAAGTCTCTGAACAGCTGCTTTGTCCCCCTAATGTCTGCACTGGATACATTTCACATGGATTCAAAAGGCAATGATATCATTCCGAGAGGAAAAATCCAGCGAGAATTACAAGGTTCAGAGCAGTAGCTGGAAAGGAAACAGCTGGACAACTACATAATAGTCCTGCACTGTTCCTACAGTTTAGATGATTGTACACCATAATCTTTACTGTCCTCTCCTGCAGGAGATCCTCCCTTAACTTGGCTGTGAACATTCTGACACAGGGACAGGTTCTTGCACAGCCTCAGCACAGCCAAGCTTTGCTCCAGGATACCAGCACAATCCTGTTACTGGTACAAACTACCAATGCAGAAATGCAGGTATAAATAAGGCTCATAAACTCCATATTAAATCCTCTTGAAGAATTATAAATCTAAGAGCCAGTTATTCCTATCCAAATGCAAGAGTATACACAGTTAAAATATTTTTGAAGTGTCACATGAGGTTGCAGTAGTAGCTTTATTAACATGGATTTAGAAAGAGCTTAGGGGTTTTTCTTCTGAATGCCCTCACTCACACCATCTTCAAGTCATCATCCACTTGTTTATTGCACATGCAGGCTCTCACCACAGAAATTATTCTGAGCACAAATAAATCCCCTTCCAAACATTTATCCAGCAAGATGTGTTATTTATAGACAAGCTGGTCAGCCCTGTGAGAAGTGCAGCCTCTGTGACAGGGTGCTGTGCTCCAAGGGGCTGCTGGTGACAGGCAGTGCTGAAGCTTCTTGTAAAATGAGAATAAAAACCTGAGTGCAGAGATTAAATTAACAAAACAAAGAGAAGAAGGGGTCTGAAGTGGTCAGGATACTGTGTGCTGCTGAGATAAGAGGAAACAGAGAAAGGAGGATTCTAACCAGAGAAGAAATGGGAATGTTAACAGAGTATCGGTGAATAAGCTTAGTGAGGTTTATCAGATTTGGATAAGGGAGAGGATAGCTATCAATCCTCCACAAGCTCCCTGTTGAAACAGCTCACACAATTGTTCTCATCCATGAGGAAAAGACCTTCATTTGACAGGCAACCTCCCTGAAAGTGCTCCCACCACAGCCATTCAGCAGTGCCTCCTGTTTCCCTCTCAAAGCGAGTTTTGACCTTTGAAAGATGCTGAGCTGAGATCCTAGGACTGAAAGCTTTTGATGTTTGCACCCACCCAGGATGCTCCAAGTTTACCTCTCAATGCCTTTTCCCCAGGTCCTCATGCCAGAGAACCCCACCCCACAGCCAGACTCAGCAGAGATTTCCAGTGTGTGGGGACAGTGCTCAGTCATTAGAAATTGGTTGAAAGCTGCTAATTAATTTCTCACCAGTTACCCAGCAAGCACCAAAATGTGGTAATTTGTCCTTGGATTAAATTTTTTTAAGGTTTTTAGTGCATGTAGTGCACATGCACTAAAACTGGAAGCTAAGTAAGAGTAGAGATGCTGAAACATCCAGAGCAGAAACACTCAGCTATTTCCAAATCCATTAATAGCATCATTATGCTGAAATGATGTGGCATTCAGAACATATCTACATTCATTTTGGGGGCTACCTAAGGCTTTGAAAAAAAAGTTCAAAGCAATTTCAAGTAGATTTTTATTATAACTAAAAGACTCTATGAGACCATTCCCATTGGTGTGAGCAGCAGCATTAAATCAGGTGAGGCAGCCACCAGTACAGAAATTGTTCTAATTTCACAAACTCATATCAGGAAAATAGCAGTTACAATTATCCTCTGAATTTGTCTCTAATTCAAGCCTCCCGTTTAAAGAAAAAAAATGTACATGCTAAAGAGAAAACACTTAAGTTTCACACAGAAAACCAATAAAAGGAAAAAGAAAAAAAGGACTAAGAAAAAATGCTTTTCCAAAGAGAGCTAAATAGTGGAACAAGTCGCTCACAAAGTAAAGGCTTTGATAATATCTTGTTTGATAAAGCTGACTGCAAAGAAATAAATTTGTCCACAGCACTCCACTCAGAGCCACAAAATGTTCATGTAAAACATATTTCCTTGTACAGCTTCAAAGAAAAGATATAATGTGGATTATGAACGGGGCAGGAATTAGAGCCCAAAATCCAGTTTTCAAATGAAAAAACTTCAATTTGTGCTGGAATGTAATCATTCAACCCTTCCACCAGTAACCTGGAAGTAAAAGTAACATTGCTGATACCACAGGCAACACTAGAAATATTGAGGGATGGGTGAATACACAGAACTTAGTGAGCTTCTTAAAAGCCTGGGATCATTTGCACATGAAGAATTTAATAAGAACAGTATCAGAAATTAGAAAGGTGATTTTACTTCTGCACAGACTGGCAAGACTGATACTCCCTAAATTTTGGTGGTCTGTGTAAAAACGAAGTTGGAAAACCAACTGGAAAACCAAAGGGAGCCACAAGAATGAGTCAAGCATTCATTCAAAAGAGAATATTTGACATCGAGAAGCATAAAGAACTAATATATTTGGTCTACCAAAAAGGCAGTCTGAGAAATAGTTTGACCACACAGTGCAGGAGTTTCCACAGACTGAAAACACTGATAAAGCACAGAAAGGCCTCATAAAAGGCAGTGCAGGAGTTTCCACAGACTGAAAACACTGATAAAGGGCTCTTTCATTCAGCACAGAAGGCCTAATAAAAGTCAATGGCCATTTAGGGACTGAATTTAAAACAGTTATGGCTACAGGGTACATCAGCCTCTCTCTGTCCAGTGAAACCAACAAGCCATCAATGTCCAGGCCCATCTATTCTACCCCAGCAGAAGCCAGCCTGAGTCTGTCCCCACTCTGTACAGGACACAGCAGGACTTGCTGAGCTACCACAGAGGAAGGTCTGAACCTTAAATCCTTTCCATATCACCTGGGTGTTAACCCTAATAATAATACTTAATTCTTCATAGAGTTCATGCATTCTCTAGCCAGCCCCAACTGGAGATTCCTTCTTTCCTCTCTGGTTCTAGAAGTCAGCACTTAGCACTGCAAAGCAGAGTAAGTTTGTTGGCAGGAAAAGTCATCCCTTTCCATGCCTTTTGTAACAGTCACTCCAGGACTTTTATAGTCCTAAATGGAGATGTTGCATCTGTATTTACTCACCAGGAGTGCAACCAGCCTCATCAATTCCACTTTCACAGTCCTTCTGCCCATCACATCTCCAGGACAATGGGATGCACTTGTTGCTTAAGTCTCCACAGCTTATTTTTTCAGATGGACACACTTGTTTGGCTGGAAGAAAAACAACCAAAGAAATAAACAGACGTTAAACATATATTTCCAAACATTTCTAACATTGTTTATGCTGTTACAGTTACTTTGACTTTGAATGGCTTGATCCTGAGATATATTGGAATGAAATCCCAAGCCAACCTGCTGCCTCCTCAATCAGGCTGCCCTGGGATGAGGCCCTTCCTGTCTCTCTCAGCCAAAATGAACTGAGGAAGTTGTTCCAATAGACCAACAGGGATTCCAGCTGAGAACTTGGGGTTGGCTGTGACAGGGAGGGGTGCTCAGTGCAAACTGGGCTCTGCCCCCCTGCCCAACACACTGAGCTGGAGCTGCTCAGGCACTGCCCTGCACACAGCACAGCAGCTCTGCACAAACCACCTCCAGCTAAACCAGGAAAAAGCAATTCCCTCATTTTAGTACAACGGTGTATGTCTAGGTTTGGCAAGGCAATTTCTAAACATAATGACCTGGGCAGATTGTGGTCAGCAAAGCTGAGGAAAAAGCAGCCAGGGCAAGCAGGAACTTGCAGATATTTAACAAATTGAGCTGTAAATGCGTAAATTGGAGGAAACTGTGATGTCAGACATGGAGATGTAGGAGGACCTGCAGAAGCAAAAACCCCAGTACAGGCAAGAAGACAACTATGAAAAAGAATTTGCCAGATTTATCTGGAACCAAGTAAGCTGTGAAGCTCATTCTCTCATAACTAGTTTGCATTGCTAAAATTCCTTTTTCCTTCATACTGGTGTAAAGAGCAACAGATCTACATTTATTGTGACAAGGCTGCTGAAATGCAAAATGTTCCACAATTTAAACAATTGTTTAGCATTCTGGAATCATCATCCAGTTTGGCAGGATTTGCTTATTAAAGAGACTAATTTCTCTCTTCAAAAAATTACGTGTATTCAAGTATTTCTTCCACTGCTACTAATGATGATAATGCTGTGTATGGCTGCAGGTCTACTGAGCAGGTGGGAACCTGGATTCTAAATGAAAACCTTCACATTACCCTGCCCTGGTAAAGGTATTTACGAAGTCAATCAGCTTCCCAAGTGCTGAGAGAGGATGAAAATTATATCTCCCCTTCCACCTACACAAGGAGACTGTGAAAGGGCATCCTACAGCCCCAAAGCATCCATCAGCCACTTGGAGAGCAGTGCCATTTAATCCCTGCATTTCTCCGTCTTAGCGCCTTCAAGTGTTAGAAGAAGCAGTTTGGAGAAGCTGCGGGCAACCAATACATCAAGAAAAATTAGGTGCTGCCACAGACAGACAGTTAATAACAGATGTAATGAAGTTTTATAACCCTGAGGCATGACAGCATTTCTGTTGAAATTTGCTCGCTGCATACCTAAATAACATTTATCAATGTTGCATGATTACAGAGGGGAGGAAAAAAAGGATCCTTACTTAGGCTTTGGGATTATTTTTCCAGCAAATTAGTAATCAAAAACATTGGAAAGGCTCCCCAGCAAGACCCCATCATGATCAGTGTGTCTGCCAACTCAGGCCAAGTCCTGTGTCCCCTCTAAGCTGCAGGTTTTGTAATACCCAACTACATTAAGGTTTGGATTGGACTGGCATACTGGGAAAACTGGGATATCAAAATGTCATGGAGACATTTGTTAATCAGGTTATTGGTCCACATTCCTCAATAATTGTTCTAATTCTTCTTCTGGAAATGGTGAGGGAAAGGAGAATTTGTTTGATGCCAAGTAGGACCAGGTCTTCCCTCCTCACTGTAAATCTCCACTGAGAACCAAGTGAGTCAAGACAGGTAAGAACATGTTCCACACACCTGATTTTGAAGAAGGTAAAATTTAATCATAAAATGGTGTCATCACACAGTGGGATCATTAACCAGCAAAAAGGTTATTTACTGGTCACAGTTTAAAGTATGGGAATTACTTTTGCTTGGCTGCTGTGGGCAGATGTTTAATAGTTTTGGGAAGCTCTAAGGTTTAGAAAGGTATGAACAGAAGGCTCCTATTTATGGAAAGCAACCACTGTGTTAGTCATCTCCCTGACAGAATAATTACAGACATTTAAAATATGTAAATCAAAGCTTGAACTTTCAGGGATGCAGCAATAGAAGCTGCTCTTGGTCACAGATCATCAAATCTCTGTGTTCCAGTGGTTTCTGCACCCAAGCAATTGTTGCGTGGAAGCCAACGACTTGTAAGCACTGGCAGGTAACAGAGAGGGGATCTTACACAAAACTCAAAGCAAACCTTTGGTGAAAACACACCTGCATTTCCAGCAAGTTGGGTGTTTTCCTCCCCTCTCCCCTGAGGCTGCAGATGCAAGTGGAGTCCATGTTGTTTTCCACACTATTAAAGAGGCTTTCGGCAACTGCAGACTTAACATTTCTGTTTCTGTGCACGGCTTACACAAACCCAGGCCTCTTGGGCTGACGTGACCAAAATGTGTTACCTCCTCCTTCCCTCTTTGTGCAGGCAGAAAGGAAAGGGTTAGTGCTGTGTGTGATGGTGAGTGCTCTTACCCTGGATGCATTCTGGACCAACGCGAGTTATAGCAAGATCTGCCTTTTCAGAAAAGCACCATTAAACAACTTGGTTGAAATGTCAGACACATCAAGACCAATTTATCACAATGAACTGCAAATGCCAAGGATGGACAACAATGGTTTATTTATAACGAGACAAGAGCAAAGAAGACAAGAAGGTTCCATTTACTCACTACCGCCAATGGCACATTCTTCTTTCTCTTTATAGGAGGCTACAAAGTCTTTCAGAGAACCATAGAGCCTAACTGGCGCCCCACTGTTTGCTTCCTCTTGTGCCACTGCTGTGCTTTTCAGGCTCCGGACATCATGTATATTCAAGAAAGCCCAAGAAAACAAAATTGATTTACTTTCAGAAGACCATTTGTCAGGTTCTCACCAAACAGGTACTCTAAGAGCATACACAAAATGCAATTAAGCAGCTTCTACTGGTGGGAAACCCACAAGACTTTTCATCAGCAGACTGAAAAGAACGCCCTTTGTGGAAATACATCATCTTACAGGTCTGAACAGCTTCTCTATCTCTGCTGAAATAACTAACTCCTCATCCTCTCCAGACTGCCCCTTGTGGTTTTCCCAGGTTCTTCAGAAGCTCTAACCCAAAACATTTTTTTCTACAACAGAGAAAACTCAATACTAAAATGGTTTAATTATTTTCTGCCATGCCAATGAACTGTTCCCACAAATATTTCCACTACTTTTATTATGGAATTTTAAATTCCTACCTCCCTCTTTCCTCCAGCAATGGTTTAGTTGTCAGCTTTTCTTTTTTTTTTAAAGGAATGTTTTTTAACAGGGACCTTCCCTCCTCAAACACTGCCCTTAAATCTTCTTTTGTCACAACTGGCAGAACTGCCTCAGAGATGTACCAAGAACAAAATAAGTGTTCACACCTGCCCAAGTACAGGACTAGAATCCAGTTTGTTTCCAGAGAAAACAAGCCTAACTGGTAAATGAGCAACTGTTCTGCAGAGAGGAGGGGAGCTGACAGGCAGAGATTGCTTAGGGAAATTCAGAACTCAGAGTTCTCAATCACTGAAGATTTGTGATTCAGAAAAAAATCTCAGTCACAAGTTTGCATATATTGTTCTTTATATATATGTGTGTGTACGAATTTTTATATCCTCATCTACACTTACTACTGACTTAAAACTCAAAGTTTCCCATTGAAGTATTTAAGGTGCATAAGAAACACAGTTTAAAATCCACCTTCTGACATAAAATATTGTCACAGCTGAAGCTGTATCTGACTGGCACTTTCCTTCTCTCGCCCCTTCTCCCAGCTGCAGGTGGCTGTGAGGAACACTGGCCTCTGCCCCACCGACCCCAGCTCACGCTGCAGCTCAGGACAGGTCGCTGTTGTTTACTTTACTTTACTTTTGATGTGTCTCAACTCTTCAAGACACATCAGATTCTGGGTGTGATTTTCTAAGGTGTGTTATATCATATTTGATATACTTGATCTCCCTGATGCCTTCCTTGTGACATGTTATGATCAGAAGTGTTTGTGTGAGGACTGCAACATCCATGCTGGGTGATTCCCATGTCTTGGGAGTTTCTTTGGCCCTGGTGCACAGAGCACTGTGAGCACACAGGGACTCCCTCAACCCTCAGCTTTCACTGGGTGCTTGAGTTTGGATCTGGGCATCAGCAATACAGAGACAGAACACGCCATGGGGAATGCTAATCAAAGAATTGTTCCCACTAAGGTCAGGAGCTGCACTGAACCTTCTGTCACGTAAAGCAACACAGTACAAGCATCAGCCTGCTAGGATAGCAACACTTACATGAACTTGTGACTTGTACAAAAGCCAATCCATCAGCAGTACTTGGGTTGCTCACCATATCTGTATTACACTTACACTTGAGATCTCTGAGAAAATACAGGCAACTCTACAATTTCAGTTGAAAGCAGCCCAGGTCAAAACAAACGTCATGATTAGTGGCTTAAGTGAATTAAGATTACAGCAGTGAGACTTGGAATGAGACCAACCCACCACCAATGACGCCTCTGTTGACAGAAGCAGCCGCCCCATCCATCTGCTCCCACAGGAAACTCCATTCTGGTCAAACTGGGGCACGCTGACAGCACCAGTTCCCAGGGCTGGAACTGATGCCACCTGACTCTGCATGTGTGAGTGGGTAAGTACAGGCTGATGTGTCATAGTCTTTGTGGCAGCATGCAAAGGCACAGAATCAGTGAAAAATCTATTTGTCTTGCACAAAATGACAATTAACTTATGGGCGCTGCCTTTCAACTTTCACCATAAATTAAGCAGCTCAAAAGACAGATTAAGGAAGGTGACTAAGGAACTACACTGTAAATTGTCAGGAACAGCATTAACAATTGATACACCTGATAAATAGATTCAGTAGTGTCATTTGTTTGATGATGACTTATGTTCAGAAGTTCCCAGGGGAACAGCAGAGGATTTGCACACATTTCCCTCCATTGCACTGCACAGTACAGCCCTTA